TCTATCAAACAGTATCACATACCACAGAGAAATTTTTCATGAAAAAATGAAGCAAATGATGTGGTAAACTTCATTATTGTCTTATTTTAAGAAATTACCAGTCACCCCAACCTTTAGCAGCCACCACACACCCTGATCAGTCAGGAGCCCCCAACACTGATGTAAGAACTTCCAAAAGCAAAAAGATTACAACTCACTGAAAGCTCAGATGATGGGTAGCAATTTTTTGGCAATAAAGTATTTTTCAATTATGTACATTTTTGGACATAACACCATTGCACACTTAATAGACTATAGTATAGTGTAAACATATCTTTTATAAGCACTGGGAAACCAAAAAATTCCTTTGACTGTCTTTATTGTGATATTCACTTTATTTCAGTGGTCTGGAACTCAACCCACAATATTATCAAGGGACACCTCTATCTGTTTCCCCACAACCCTCCTACAATGTATATTAGCAAACTTCTCTATATTTGTCCTTCTGATAGCCTAAAAATGGTAAATATTGCTTCAGTTTGAATTTTGATGAGGCAGAACATGTTTTCCTATGTTTATAAACCAGCCACGTGTATTTGGGAATTTTTCCTTTGAGTCTACAGGCCACCTTCTTAATGTGTTGTTGATCTGTAGTTCATATATTAGTAAAGCTTATGCAGAAAAAAATGAGCCCTTTGACTTTTGTATTAATTGCAAAGTTATTTTATTTTCACCACAATCCCAGAATCTTCGTAATTTCTTTGTTTCTGGCATATCCCTCTATGCATAGCATTTACATTTTATGTATTAAAATTTGTCAACTTGTTACATTAGTTTTTCAGGTAGTGTCAAAATTCTAAAAAACTTAACGTGTTTTCGTGTAGTACTTTTACATTTTCAGTTTTTAAGTCTTGTATCCACCTAAAATTTATTTCACTGTTCTCTAGGAGTGAAAGAGAAATCAAACTTCCTTCCCTTCCAATGGCTAGCTACTTACTCCAGCACAAACAATGGTAATTGAATGCCATTAGTCTGTGAGCTTGCTCTATTTTAGCACAATGCCAGCTCTCATAAATATTTGTTACATGAATAAGCAAATAGCATATATTTATTTACTTATTCATTCATTCTACAAATATGCATGTATGTGAACACTATGCTAGGTCTTCCAAGTAACAGTAGTGACTCAGAACCTGTTCCTAAGGAGCTTGGGGTCTAGAAGTGAGGATAGCCATTAAATAAGTAATCATTTAGCATTATTTTGGACAAGATAATCTACGATTCTTCTTGAACTAGACACCCAAAAGTGCTAGATGAAATATCTATTTTAAAATGCTGAGTTGAGCTTCCAGGAATCCCAAAGAGCTGGTGCTAAGCAGGAACTGAAAACCACAGAAACTGCCTTGGGGAGATTTGTCCAGCTAAGCAATAGGGACTAGATTTCAAAGGGAACAAGCAACAAGCCTTTGCACAAATGTATTTAATTAAATTGCAAAGAGTGGAAATCCATGAAGGTTTGGGGGGAGAATTAAGTACAGGACAGGAGACCTGATTCTAGCACTAGTTGTTGTAACACTCTGTAGGGTTGGTGAACAAATCCCTTTACTCTTTTCAGCCTCTATTCCTTTTGTGTAAAATGAGAGAATTGAATTAGAAAGTTTGTAAACTATGTCTCAGCTCTGAAAGTTTCTGATTCTATGATAGTAGACCCCTTAAAATAATTTAATTTGGCAGCAGCATAGATGGTGGATTTTTGCGTTAGCCTTTTAACTGATCCCTGCCTCTAGGCTTGCTTTACCTCCTAAGTAATTTCTTTACTGACCACAGTAACCTTTTCTAAATGGGTGTGCATGTTATCCCCTGTTGAAATTTTTCAAGTTTCCCAGAACCTTCAGGCTAAAGTTCAAAGGTCTTGGTTTAGCAAACAAATTCTTTTCATCAGCTGGCTACTTTACACTCCTCAAATGTCTGACATGTCTCCCATTGTAGTACAATTGTTGGTTTGCTTGTCTCTCCTAAACACTGTAAAATCATCTCTGCCTTCTAAACATCTAATATAGGTGCTGGCATACAGCAAGAACACTATAAGTATTAAATAAATGAATGAGTATTGAAGTCAGAAGACCTGGTAAATTTAGGAATACCTCTGGAGGGAAGTAATGCAGCTTTCAATTGACATGGTAGCACTAACAAGGGAAAGATGGATAGAAATTAGGAAATCACAGTGCTAAGACAACTTACAAGACGTTAATTACAGACCATCAACAGGGGCAAGGTAGCACTACACAGGTCTAATGCTTAAGTGTATATTTGTTAACTATTTAGCTTTATTTAATTTAGATGAAATCTCTGATTAACAAACCAACTCTAAGATCTGGTCACAAGGTGCTAAGGGCAGTCAAATCTACACTGTCTGTAGATGGTGACCTCACTGTTTAATAATATGATATGACTATGAGTTACCAGTTTGAACCCAAGTGAGCCACAAACCTAAGGGAGTAAAGTTTACTACAGATACAAATGAAGGGAAAAGTCAGAGATTCAACTAATTAACTGTTAAATGTTTGCTATGCACTGAAAACCCAGGGAAATAAAAGAAATGAAAGGTAATTTTAAGTGCAATTGAATTTTCAGACCCCGAAAAAGGAGAACAAGTTGTTAAAGACAGCTAGTGGAAACTGAACTGGGTTTCAAAAGATTAATAGGATTAATTAGTATGACCAAAACAGAAAGGAGAGAATAAGTGTAGTATGTAGGCCAGGAAGAAGAATCAATTTCACAGAAGGAAAACTAACCTACATGTCATTTCTTTGATTCCTTTTTTCAAAAACTATAGTCCACTTTAAAATGCCTTGTATTTCCATGCTCAGTCAGTGTGCAATTCAAAATAGATTGAGCTAATTAAAGGTAGAGGTCAAAAGGCAGACTTGATTTGTATGGTGGTAAAGACAGAAGTGTGGATGGGTAATCAAAGAATCTTTTCCTTTTTAAAGATTTTAAGTAATCTCTATACTCAACATAGAGTTCAAAGTTACAACCGTGAGATCGAGTCACTCGCTCTGTCAACTGAGCCAGCCAAGCACCCCTAAAGAATATTTTGCTTGGCAAACAGTCCAGGAAGACCAAAATAAATGCCAGACCCAAGTATTGCAGCTATTAAAAATGGGGGAACTAGGTGAAGATGTTGGGAGGAGGTGCAAGTGGGAGATAAGACCTCGAAAACTGTTACATGTTTATTTTACTTTCAATCCACTATTATCTTATATAATCTTATTTAATAAAATAATCTTATTTATTTAACTGTTTTTAATGTTTTATTTATTTTTGAGAGACAGAGAAAGAGAGAGAGAGAGACAGCATGAGCAGGGGAGGGTCGGAGAGAAAGGGAGATATAGCATCTGAAGACAGGCTCCAGACTCTGAGCTAGCTGTCAGCACAGAGCCCAAAGCAGGGCTGGAACCCACAAACCGTGAGATCATGCCCTGAGCAGAAGTCGGAGGCTTAACCGACTGAGCCACCCAGGCACCCCAAGATAATCTTATTTAAATATTTGGGGAAACACACACCACACACCAGATTTTGAGAATCTGGCGATTAGGAAGATAAATTTTTGGTAGTACACAACCACTGTTCTACTCTGAAATAACCTTGGAACTGTTAAGTAACTTTCATATACTTAGATTCTTTAAAATTTACTGAATTCACTGAATCCGTGTTTCAAAAACCCATGTAACAACAAATAGAGGGTTGAGGCTTTGTTGTTGTAGTCTTGTTTTTTGTACATTTCTATTCTAATTAAAATTACATCGGTTTATACATATAAGATTGTTTACCTCTCTACTGTCCTTGGAAGTTCGTAGTGTATTTATCGTCCTTGTAATGCTTTAGGCTGGCGTTTTATTATTTTCTTCTATATTGTATACACACTCAAAGAACAAAAGTGGGTAATTCCTGGTCTGTCTTTGAAAAGTCTAAGGTGTTGTTTTAGCTTATTTTATATTTTCGCTAGCCATGAGATTAACTGTTGCTAAATGAGGAACCGTGTTTTCACGCCCTACATGCAAGAATACTAAATAGAAAAAAAGAAACGTAATGTTTTATTATATTAGTTACTAAATTTTAGGAACCAATTACGTTTTTCATAATGAGAATCAACAGGTTAACATTTTAGGTTCAATATGTTGCAAACAGGGACTCTCACTTAAGAATAAATCATTATATTGTCATAATTGAATTGAAAAACCGGTATTTCTAAGTCATTTCACATTTGCGAAAGTACCGCTGAAACAAAATGAATGTTTAATAAAAGGCTGAGATTAGGATGAGGCGAGAGAGGCGTCTAAGGTACAAAATTTAAAGCGTACCCTGTACACGTCTCCTTTAAACGTGTGCCCCGGGCGCCTCCCTCCATCAAGAAATGTAGAGCGGGCGATGCTTACGGGTTCTGGACGGTCTCTCCAAGTGTCAGATATTATGCCAGTCACTCTATCCAGCCTAGGACCGGTTACAAAGTGGGAATTTGTTCAACAGAAATTGCCAAGTCAAATATTGTCCTATCAAATTCCATTCTGACGTGGCAGGTGTTGCCTCGGGGAGGGGGGTGGGGGGGGAGCCACCCAAAACAAAACAAACACCAGCCCATCAGCACCGGGGCATGCTGGCCCCGGCTGGCATTGGGCAACTCCCCAGTTCCGAAGCTATATAAGTAAGCAGACTTTCCCTTTAATACAGGGATACCGGCTTCCCTTTGGGAAACTCAGCAACCCAACAGGTACAGGAAACGCGTTAAGTTCAACCGCGGGAAACAGATCTCCGCCCCAAACAATAACCGCATGTGCCTCCAGCCGCAAGCGTTCCCGGGAAAGGACGTTGCGCCTTCGCCAGTCGCCGGCTCGGGAGATGCGAGCCGAGTCCTCAGGGGGCCGGTATCCGCGCTCCACCAACCCGCAGCCACAGTGAGGACTCGGCCCTGCAAGTGAAAAGGGAGGCCGTCGCCCCAGCAGACCCATAGAGCCACTGTACTGAGAAAACCCGAGCTGTTGGCACTCCGAGCAGGCAGGCAGATCCGAGGACAGCCCGCGCGCTCGAGGACCCCGGTGGCGGCGCTGCTCGGCGGGAAGGGGGAAGTTTCAAAGCCGAGTTGTGGACCTCTTGCCGCGGCTCGCGCGAAATGAAGCTGCACTGCGAGGTTGAGGTTGTCAGTCGGCACTTGCCGGCTTTGGGAATGAGGAACCGGGGCAAGGGCGTCCGGGCGGTGTTGAGCCTCTGTCAGCAGACGCCCGGGAGTCAGCTGCGGCCTCGGGCTGGAGGCGAGCGAGGCGGCCCGCGTCCTACCTGCCTGGTCATCTGCACCATGAGGGACAAGCGCGGGACCCGCTATGAGGTGAGTGGACCGAATAGGCCCTGCGTTGGAAATCAGCCCCGAGTTCTTCCCTTTCGAGCCCTGCGCACCCGCTTGTTCCAGAGGCTGGAGCGGGTCTGGCGGGTACCTGCGCCCCACTACCACCCCCGCAATCATGGGCGTCTCCCTGTGGACCCGAAAGAGGAAAGCTTTTTGAGAGCGCACCTTCTCCTTTTTTTTTTTCCCACTTCTTTGGCTCCAAATGGATAGCGTTTCTATTTAGTAGTAGATGGCATCCCTGCTGTCTTAAAGCCTCTGGAAATTCGGCCTGCATGAAACTAATCTTTAAATGGAACAGCAGTCCCCTTTGGGGAAACAGTTAAATAATTGCACTTTTGTTCGATAAATTGTTTTCTCCCATAGTATTTTCGCTGGCTTTTTTTTTTTTTAAGGCTTTAAGTGACGATGGATAGTATCCAGGATCGCTAGACCAGATTACTACAGTAGTAAAACAGTAATGCTTTGGGTTGCATCTTGATATTTATACTAATGTTATTGCTTACTACATCTTCCTTTCTTTCTCCCTTCCTTCTTTATTTAATTTCCTTAAACTTGAGTTTCTAGGACCAGGGCTTCTCTCATCTGCATCGCAGTAGTAAACTCTAGAAGTAGTTGGAAGTTGAAATAGTAATTCCACAGCACAGGTTTCATAAAATCTTTTCCCCCTCATTTCACCAGGTACTGTGCTATTTTTTCAGAGTGACTGGAATACGCTTGTGTCTACTGTAAATAAAGCTGAGGGGGCAACTCATCTCCCACCCTTGCATCTGACTCTTGACTGGATTTTATACAGTTTCTAGGATTCTTTCCATTACAGTGTTGTACTCCAGGATGTATACTCAGGTTAAGGAAAGGGGTATTACCATCTCATTCAGAGACACTTAATATTTGATATAGGCAATTGAAAGTGTAAATGATTTCGCCTCTTCGTGGAATTTTTCAATTTGAAAGGACTTTAGCAATCACCCAACATTCCGTAGAAGACTGTAAGCTGACAGAAGCTAACTCATCACAAGATTTGGGTCTCCCTTTTTTCCTCCACCTTCTTCCCCAAATCCTCTTTCATGGTCAGATCAGGTTCTATTTTAAGTCTGTAACCACTGCCCTTCACACTTCTACTGCACTAATAATTGGAAGTGGTAATCCTCATCAGAATTTTATTGTGAACTCTAAGTTGAAGACTTAGTATGCGCATGATGGAGTGCTAGATACTTTGGGAGATAAACTTGATTTGGTCACTGTCCTTCCAAGACTAGAAAAGAAATAGAAACCAGTGCTTACAGTACAAGGTGGAGTATGTAAGTGCTATAGTTAAGGTTAGAAGTTCAGTAGTATCAAACAGCGAAATGAATTCTGATTATAACGGCTTGAGAAAGTTTTGTAGTAGAGGTGGTGCCAGAGGGCTTGGGACATAGTAGGTGCCCAATAAACATTTGTTAAATGAATTAAAGTGGTATTGGTCCTCAGCCTTGAAGACTAGTTATTAGTGCTAAGTGTGGGAAATACATTGGAGATCTTTCTTACACCAACTTTTCTTCCCCATGACTCAGCTACTGCACAGTGATTTACAAATCTGTATCTTTAGCTAGTCCTCTCCCTTAACTTGCAACTTGAATCTTCTTTCAATTGGAAATGTTCACTTGGATGTGTTGTAGCATTTCAAACTCAAAATATCTAAAAATTATATTTCCTTGCCACCCCAAAACCTGCTTTTCTGATCATTAAATAGCTCTGCTCTATCCAGAAAACTTAAGGCTTTTGCATCCTCAAAAGTATTGTATTATTGAATCCTTTCAATTCTTCTTCCTAGGATTCTTTCAGATTTTCATACCTCCTTCCATCCCAGCTGCAGTCTAAACCACCGTAATTCCTTGTCTGGCCAATCTCTTAAAAGATATCCCTGTTGGGGATAGGGCCCCCCTGAGCCTAGGTGGCTCAGTCAGTTAAGCGTCTGACTTCAGCTCAGGTCATGATCCTGCGGTTTGTGAGTTTGAGCCCCGCATCAGACTCTGTGTTGACAGCTCCGAGCCTGGAACCTGCTTCACATTCTATGTCTCCCCCTTTCTCTTCCCCTCTCATGCTCATGCTCTGTCTCTCTCTGTCAGTCAATAATAAATAAACGTTTAAAAAAAATATATATATGTTATATCCCTATCTCTACTTGCCCCCATCCCATTCTCCCTCTTACACTGTGGTTAAAGGGAATTTATCAAAATGTAGATCTAGGATGCCTGGTTGACTCAGTCAGTTAAACATCTAACTCTTGATTTCGGCTCAGGTCATGATCTCAAGGTTTATGAGATCAAGCCCCAGTTGATCAAGCACAGAGCCAGCTTCGGATTGTGCCCCCCCCCATAAATAAATAAATTAAATAAACATTTTTTAAAAATGTAGATCTAACTATGTTCCCAGCTTCAGGTGATTCAATAGATATCATTCTCAGAATAAAATCCAAAATTCTTCACATGGCTGCAAAATCTTTCACCATGCAATCCCTGTTTGCCTGTCCAAGCTCACCTGCCTCTTTTCCCTGGATCCTTCAGCCACATTAAACTTCTTACATCTCCTCGCAGCTGCCAAGCTCTCTTGCCTTCAAGGCTTTGCACACATTTTTCCTTCCTTTTTTTTTTTTTTTAAGTATTCATGTAGAACTTTATTTCATTTTTTTAATAGTGGTGGTTTTTTTTTTCTTCAATTTCTAGGAGAGAGAGAGAGACAGCGTGAGCAGGGGAGGGTCAGAGAGAGGGAGTCACAGACTGAAACAGGCTCCAGGCTCTGAGCTGGCAATCAGCACAGAGCCCGACGCGGGGCCCGAACCCACGAGCCGCAAGATCATGACCTAAGTGAAAGTCGGACGCTTAACCGACTAAGCCACCCAGGCACCCCACACGCTTAACCGACTAAGCCACCCAGGCACCCCCACACATTTTTCCTTCTTTTTTTTTTTTTTTTTTTTTTTTAAATGTTTTATTTCTGAGAGAGAGGCAGCGTGAGCAGGAGAGGGAGACACAGAATCTGAAACAGGCTCCAGGCTCTGAGCTGTCAGCACAGAGCCCGATGTGGGGCTCGAACCCACAAACCGTGAGATCATGACCTGAGCCGAAGTCGGACGCTCAACCAACTGAGCCACCCAGGCGCCCCCACATTTTTCCTTCTTATTGGTAGGCTTATTCCTTCTCTTTTCACCCACTATCTTCACTTGCCCACATCTCCTAATCCTTCAGTTCTCACCTTTAAGGTAAGTTTTATATTCCTTTGCTATATAAGGTCTTAGAGCAATCTGTACTTCCCTTATCTTAATATTTGTTATGCTTGTAACTACTTACTTAGTAATTGTCTCTCATCAGACTGATAGTTTATAAGCATAATTACTATGTTGGTCTTACAACTATTGTTTCAAGCCCCCTATCATAGTACTTAGCACAGAGTGGCTTCTCAATAAATAGTTGTTGAAGTCTAAAGCAGAAGCATCAGTCATTAAAAAATTTTGAGCACCTGTTATGTGTCAGTCACTGTGGTTCCGTGGATCTAATAGTGAACAAAGGAGACAAGATGCCTGCTTTCATGGAGTTTATAATCTTGTGGGAGGTGTGTCCACCTGAGTCTAATGGCCCGAAGTTAAGAAGGCAAGTAACTACTATTGGTAGCTTCTACAGCCACGTAGTTGGAATGAGAGAAGAGGAGCATTCTCCCAAACGGGAGTCACAGGAAAGAGTTAGTGACCTGATAAAATAGCAATATCTATCAGAATCTAGATAAGAAATGTTGCTACCTAAGTACTAAAAACTCCCCCTGAAATAAAAACTTTAAACCACAAAACACCCAGACTTAAGTAGTAAAGCCTGGGAAAGTGACTGGGATATTCTAATTGTAATGAATATTACTGAATAACAATACCTGATTTTGTCCTTTTTTCTCATTGGTTTTAAACAGCTCAAGGAGAACATTGAGCAGTTCTTCACCAAATTTATGGATGAGGGGAAAGCTACTGTTCGGTTAAAGGAGCCTCCTGTGGATATATGTCTAAGTAAGGTATGGTATTAAAAGCATGATTAAAGGGGCACCTGGGTGGCTCAGTCTATTAAGTGTTTGACTCTTGATTTTGGTTCAGGTCTTGATCTCACAGTTCATGAGTTTGACCCCCTCATTGGGCTCTGTGCTGATTGCGCAGAGGCTACTTGGGATTCTGTCTCTCTCCGTCCCTCCCCCAATTGCTCTCTCTCTCTCTCTCTCATTCTCTCTCTCTCTCTAAATAAATAAATAAATGTAGATATATATAGATAATAAATGAAAACAAATGTAAAAAATTGTTTTAAAAAAAAACAGTAACAATTAGGTGGATTGGCAGTATTTTCTTTAAAGAAAAGGCTATTTGAGGACCCTTGATATCCCACTAGCTGAATAGGGATGGACACTTGGCAGGTGTGTTTGAAGAAGCCATGGCAGGTCTGTGGTAGAATTCAAAAACTCACCAGACACATACACAGTTTCTCTGGCATGCTGGCATGGCTCTAAGAGTATAGTCAGCCCAGTAAGGCTATGCAGGATTAGGAGGAAGCAAAATGGCTGGTCTCTGAGCTCAGCCAGAGCTTAGGGTGCTCTTAGACTAGAGTTCTGTAAGGCCAGTGGCACACATCTACATTTGCCAGCAAAATCACCCATTACAGATCTAAATTTGATATTTAAAAAAAAAATGCAGTTAGGACCATTTGGGAGTGTGTGTGTGTGTGTGTGTGTCTTTATTTTGAGAGAGAGGGACAGACCATCTGAAGCAGGCTCTTTGCTGTCAGTGCAGAGCCTGATGTGGGGCTTGAACTCATAAACCGTGAGATTGTGACCTGAGCCAGAGTCAGACACTCAACCGACTAAGCCACCCAGACACCTCCATTCTGGGGCTATTTTATTTATTATCATTTTTAAAAATATTTAAGCCATTAAAATAAAACTTTACTGAGCCCAATTTCCCCTTTTCCTCTCTCCTCCCTCCCCCTTCCCAGAGCGTAGAAGCAATGTCTTGTTCAACCTTTATTATCCTTAACCCCAAGCAAAGTGCTTTGTAAACATCAAAGTTTAATGACTATTTAAGGTATTTGTATTGAATGGAAACATTTTGTCCTGCCTCCTGTTCTTGTAGTTTATCATTTTTTCTTGATATTCAGCTTATCCTACTCTTTCCTTCTACTTAAAAACAAGCTGAAGTCTTACCAATCAAGAAAATAGAGTAGACAAATTTCCAAAAGACAAGGTTAAATCCACTGCCTACACATAACTATCTCGTTTGACCTTTGTTTTCAGTGGTTTATCAAAACTATCTCAGAGATCACTGGTTTCCTTCCTTTTTGCCAATCACATTGACTATTTTGAGGTCTGTAGAATTTGACACTGATGACCACTCCTTTCTTAATAGAACCTTCCTTTCTTGGCATCTGACAGGGCATTATCCTGGTTTACCTTTGGTTTCCTTAGCCACTTCTTTATCTCCTATCTCCAGCATCTTTTTTTGTATCTCCCACTAAAGGCTTTATTCCAATCTTTTGCCTGTTCTCTACCATACCTGCTTTCCATTCTCATAGCTCAGTCATTATTTATAACTCCCAAATCTTTAAGCTGGTACCCTGCCCCAGACCTACTCGACCAGGTCTCCAGACTTTACTCACACTACCTGACTGTGTATATTTCTGCTGAAATAATATTTAGCTTTTCTCATGTAATTCTCCTGTTCCAAGTTTTTAAAAGATTTCCATCCTCCTTATCTTGGTATTGGGATCATCTATATCATCCCCACACTGTATTTCTAGTCTTTTACACTTTTCCAAACATCTCATATTCTGACCAAATAGGATCACATACTGTTTCTCAAACTTGCTGCAAGTTTACTAGTACTTCACATGTAAACTTTAGGAAAGTTCTGAAATATCCTGCAAGCATTAGTTATTTCTGTTGACAGCTTAGTTTCCATACCACTCTATTAGTGATTTTTCTGTCCAACTGGAAGCAATCTCTTGCTTTTGATGTTTTCCAGCACTTTTTACAGTGCCATTTGGCCCTGTAGCCATCTTAGACTATCTCAGAGACACTGGAGATTTGCCTCCGTTCATCTTAAACCCAGGTCTTAAGTGGAATCTTTTCGTGTATTCCTGTCTTATTTTATGCTCTTTTGGTTCTCTTCTGAGTGGTTTTATTTAGAGTATGTCTCTCAACATAATATTTTTTCAGAAACTTTCAAATTTTTTTGTATCTATATTGAAATTTAGTCAAAATAGTAAAAAATTTGTTTTTATAGCCATTTTTAAGAAATGATTGCATCATTTGCATGTATAACTTTATAGAATTTGTTATAGGATGAATTAGTATGCATGTATTATCTAAAATGGAATTTAATTGTACAACTTATTTTTATTTGTTTAGGCCAATTCCAGCAGCTTAAAGAGTTTCCTTTCAGCTGTGAGACTTGCTCATAGAGGTTGTAATATTGAGATACCACTTTCAACCTTCACACCAGTGAAGACTTCAGAATTTGAAAAATTTAAAACTAAGATGGTTATCACATCCAAAAAGGACTATCCTCTAAGCAAGAACTTCCCATATTCTCTGGAACATCTTCAGACTTCTTATTGTGGGCTTGTCCGAGTTGATATGCGTATGCTTTGCTTAAAAAACCTTAGGAAACTAGACTTGAGTCACAACCATATAAAAAAGCTTCCAGCTACAATTGGAGACCTCATCCAACTTCAAGAACTTAACTTGAGTGACAATCACTTGGAATCGTTTAGTGTAGCTTTATGTCAGTCTACACTCCAGAAGTCACTTCGGAGTTTGGATCTCAGCAAGAACAAAATTAAGGCGCTCCCTGTGCAGTTTTGCCAACTCCGAGAACTTACAGATTTAAACCTTGATGATAATGAATTGATTCGATTTCCTTTCAAGATAGGACAGTTGACAAACCTGCGTTTTTTGTCAGCAGCTCGAAATAAGCTTCCATTTTTACCTAGTGAATTTCAAAATTTATGCCTTGAGTACTTGGATCTTTTTGGAAATACTTTTGAACAACCAGAAGCTCTTCCAGTTATAATGCTGCAAACGCCATTAACGTTATTGGAATCCTCTGCACGAGCCATGTTATATAATAGGTAAGACTTTTTAATAGTCATAAAATGCAGTACGTCTGATTAAAATCCTAGTATTCTCATCATCCTCATTGTAATAGTCACAGTTTTTAACATAGTTTACAGTGCTGTTCACAGTCTGACACCTTGCTCCAGTGGCCTTCTTGCTCCTCCTTACCTCTGCTTGGAATGCTTTTCTTCCAGAAAGTTCCATAACTCACTTTCTCACTTCAAGCCAATTCTTTTCCCAAGTGACACCCAGAAAGGCCTTTGCTGACCACCCTATCTAAAGTTTTGTCTGCACCCCTTTCATTGCTTCACTTTTCAGTTATAGGGTTTATTACATGCCATCAAATTTTTTTAAATGTTTATTTATTTTTGAGAGCGATCTCAAAAAAGTGGGGGAGGGGCAGAGAGAAGGAGTCACTGATTCTGAAGCAGGCTCCAGACTCTAAACTGTCAGCGCAGAGCTCAATGCAGGGCTTGAACCCATGAACCATGAGATCATGACCTGAGCTAAAGTTGAACGCTTAGCTGACTGGGCCACCCAGGCACCCCTTCACTTCTGTCTATCCTCTTCATTTCTATCTATCAAGTGTTTTCAGCCGACTTGTTATAAAAAGGATACAAATCCAAAGCTATGAGAATAATGCCTCTTATCTCGCCTTTGGTAAATTGTCCTCACTACTGGTTACAAACATAAAGTTATGTTCTATTAGAAAAGTATGTGGCAATTTAAATTATGTTAGATAGAAAATAACAGTTTTTAACTATTACCTCTTTCCTTAGGCTATAACCAGTAGCTTGAAACAGTTTAATATAAAAACAGGTGGTAGACACTTCCTAGATAGTTTTTTAAAAAATTGTTATTTATACAAGCAACAAATTAGTACATGTGGAAAAAAAAGTAAATTGCAACCAAGACCAGTCCCAAATCCATTATGAAAAGTAAACTATTTTTTATTTATATGTGTCTTTTCAGACTTCCTAATAGGGTTTTGAATTCTGTTTAAATTATAAGAGTAGGTTTTAATTATTTGTTGAAAAAATATGAACACCTATTATGTACCAGCCTAAGCTAGGGACTAGAGAGCAAAGAAAAGACTGGGAGACAAAGTGATTTGGAGCATGGTTTAGTAAGGAGTTGGGCAATGGGCAGGCCACCTCAAGAGATCACCTTACAGTGTCTCATAGATGAGGGTGAAAGAGTTTGACTCTTTTGGATTTTTTTTTTTTTTGGTGAGAGTGAGCAGGGGAGGGGTAGAGAGAGAGGGAAACACAGAATTAGAAGCAGGCTCCAGGCTCTGAGCTGCCAGCACAGACACCGATGTGGGGCTTGAACTCATGAACTGTGAGATCATGACTTGAGCTGAAGTCAGCCGTTTAACCAACTGAGCTACCCAGGGGCCCGTTTTGGATTGCTTTTGAGCTTGACTTGATTTTAATAGCATAGGGACACCATTGAAGTTTCAAGCAAGAGGGTGAGTGATTTAAGCAAGGTGAGGTCAGTACTTGCTCAGCCAGTAAAGTAAAAATACCCCAAACAATATGTGTTTTAAATCTGTCTCACAGTTTAAAATTCCCTTTTGAACATTTGATGCCTAGGAGAGTATTTAGATTTAAATAAATGTTTTTTCACAAATAGAACTCAGTAATTCTCCCATTACCATTATGAGAATTGGATACTAGAGCTGTAAGCTTTAAATGATCATGTTATACTGATAATACAATCTAGATAGATCTCTCCATTCTATTCCATGGGTGATGCTATTAAGTGACAGTGCTAAAAGATACTTTATGGAGTAGTATAGATCCTCTTAGGTTTTCAATATGCCATATGGTGTTGTCGCCATTTTTTTTTTTCCTAAGAGAGAGAGAGAGAGCGTGAGCAGGGGAGGGTCAGAGAGAGAGGGAGATACAGACTCTGAAATAGGCTCCAGGCTCTGAGCTGGCAGTCAGCACAGAGCCCGACGCGGGGCTCGAACCCACGAACCGCGAGATCATGACCTAAGCAAAAGTCGGACGCTCAACGGCGTGTTGTCGCCATTCTTAACAGTTTGGAAGAAAGAATATACTGAGTCACTTAATAGAGTAATCTTATTTTTCCACGGTTATAATTCAGTATCTGGTAATTTGTGACCTAATACGTGAATATTCTGAATCTAATAACATACTAAATATTTTTTAAACTTTTTTTTTTCCAATAGGATTCCATATGCCTCTCATATCATTCCTTTTCATCTTTGCCAAGATTTGGACACTGCTAAAACCTGTGTCTGTGGAAGATTCTGTCTAAGCTGTTTTATTCAAGGAACTACTACCATGAATCTACACTCTGTTGCTCACACTGTGGTCTTAGTAGATAATATGGGTGGTACTGAAGCACCTATTATCTCTTACTTCTGTTCTCTAGCCTGTTATGTAAATTCCTGTGATATGTTAAAGTAATTGGTGTTACCACAAAAAGAAGAAATTCCATTTAGTTACATATCACCATGGGATTCATATGTGGTTTAATAGTTTTAAATTAGAGAAAGAGAACTTTTTGTATACTTACTTGAGGGGAGGAATGTCTTATTCTAACAGTTTCAATCATTTGTAAAACCGTAATTTCATTAAAACTTATAGTTTTATTGTGAAAGTAGACTGTTATCAGTTTATTGCACTTTGTGTTGATTTTAGTCTAGTGTTTCCAAAATGTGTTGTAGGGTTATCTTTTAATGTTAAACAGATATTGATCCCTATCACTCTGGTCATAGAATTTTCATATCATTTTCCTTCTTGAATTTCAATTAAGGAAATTGAGTTTCTATATACAGAAAATACACCTTGGAGGACTAATAGAGTCTAAATTTTAGTGAAAACTTGTTTGGTATGAAACTTTGTTTTTCAAGTATATAATTCTGTATCTAGAATTCTTTATTCATCAAGCATAAAGTTGGAGTTGTTTTGGGATAAACAGGCTTCAGGTTTTATAAGTTTTATAATGTTATCATATAATCTTTGTTGTGATTTACATATTTTTAACTTTTAGAGTTGGAACAAGGTTTTAGGGTTGGGTAGGAAGAAGAGAAAATTGCTTTTTACTGATTACATTCTGTATTTGAGGGTTGTTCTTTTTCTGATTATTATTTTAGTCACTTAATATTTTCAAAATTTTACTTTAAAAAGTGGTGGTGCTATAAGATCTGAACTATGATCAGGATTTTAACTAGGTTAGAGGGAATAGAAAATGTAGCTGCTTGAAAGAAATGTGGGAAATGGAATCAGTAGAACTCCGTTCTGTACATTCGCACCACCCTTCTTCAGATCGGCCTCATAATTGGATTCTGGGAACAAAGGAAGTGAAAGAGTAAAAGTTACTAGAGAAAATCTTCTCTAGTGTTAACATATCATTGGTGTTCTGAGCCTGGAGTTAAAGGTAGAATTTGTGTCAGACTATTTGTTACCGCTTTAGGTTATTACTACTTCCTCTGTCCTCCTAAAATATTTATTTGGACCATTTTATTCTTTTCTGAAAATAAAAGTATTGAGTAAATACGGTTTTAAATGTTAGAAGATTTTTAAGGAATTTTTTTTAATGTTTATTTTTGAGAGCGAGCACAAGTGGGATAGGAAGAGAAAGAGGGAAACACAGAATCCAAAGCAGGGTCCAGGCTCTAAGCTGTCAGCAGAGAGCCTCACACAGGGATCAAACTCATAGACCGTGAGATAAGAACCTGAGTCAAAGTCGGACCCTTAACTGAGCAGGCATCCCTAAATGTTAGAAGATTTTTATTATAACTTTATGCTATCATCTCCAAAACATAGTTTCTTCTCAGAGCAGATACTTTGGTACAGAACCGTAATTCTTTGGGTGACCTTAAATTTGTATTTCTTGTGGTCAATTCTTCCTGCAAAAATTTCTACATTCTGGTTTCTCATTTTAAAAAATCATACATATAATGCAAACATGGCTTAAATAAAAAGAGCTGCCATTTAGCTGCGTATTTGTCACAGGGGTTTTACATATAGTATTTTGTTTAATCCTCACAAATTCCCCTAGGAGGGAGGTAACATGAACCCAGATCTGAGATTTTTAAGTCCAGGCTTTATTACTGCCTTCTAAAGTTAATTCACTTTTGCTCTTTAAAACCAAGAATTCTGTAAAGTGTCTTAGGATTTTCTAAACTGAAAATGGTGAGGAAATTACCCATGTTATGTAACTACTTTAAAACAGTTCTTTAAAAAAAAATGTATTGTGACATATTTAACTTGTATCTGATTTTTACATGTTCTTGAAGAAGAAGTTCCTTCATCAACAAATGCAGATGTGTCTATGTTGGGACAAAGTGCTAGCCGTCTGTTACTCCTACACCCTAGCCCTTTGCCTTTGCATTCTTACTCATCTAAAAGTCATCCCATGCAACTATCTTAGCCAACTTAAAATTCTTGTACAAAATGCAGAATTTGTCTTCTCATTACCCATCCTCTTTGTCAGTTTATTTCTTCTTTTGATACTATTATTTTTATTTTTTTGCCTTTCATGGGTTACAAGGCTCACTTGAGTTTCAGCCTTCCTGTTTTCAGTGGTAACTGGTTGCTTCCTCAAACCTCCTAATAACCAAGTTGTAACATTTGAATATCTCCCAGAGTAGCTTCTAAAAGATTAAAAAAGCAGTCCATGCTATTATGGACTCCTCGTTTTTCACTAGCTTTAGAACATTTTGCAGTTAGCAGTTTTTAACTCCTGCCTAACATTCAGGACCAGTCTAAAACCATACCACCCAAAGAAACAGAAATGTTCTGTATCTGTGTTGTGTAAATACAGTAGCCACTCGGCACATGTGGCTATTGAGCATTAAGTGTAGCTGCTAGTGTAACTGAGGAGCGGTTTTTTTTTTTTAAACTTTTTCTTTTTTTTTTTTTTTTTAATGTATTTCTAGGAGAGAGAGAGACAGCGTGAGCAGGGGAGAGTCAGAGAGAGGGAGTCACAGACTCTGAAACAGGCTCCAGGCTCTGAGCTGGCAGCCAGCACAGAGCCCGCTGCGGGGCTCGAACCCACGAACCGCGAGATCATGACCCAAGCGAAAGTCGGACGCTTAACCGACTAAACCACCCAGGCGCCCCATTTTTCATCTTTATTTTTGAGAGAGACTCTCGGAGTGTAAGGGAGGGGCAGTGAGAGAGGGAGACACAAAACCAGAAGCAGGCTCCAGACTGTTAGCAGAGAGCCTGATGCAGGGCTCGAACTCACTAACTGCAAGACAGGACCTGAGCCAAAGTTGGACACTTAACCGACTGAGCCACTGAGGTGCCCTGAGGAACTTTTTATTTAATTAAAAAAAAATTTTTTTTCCTGAGAGAGAACAGCATGAACAGGGGAGGGTCAGAGAGAGAGGGGAAGACAGAATCCGAAACAGGCTCCAGACTCTGAGCCAGTTGTCAGCACAGAGCCGGACGTGGGGCTCGAACCCACAAACCAAGAGATCATGACCTGAGCTGGTCTGACGCTTGACTGAGCCAGCCACCCAGGCGCCCCTTTAATTTAGATATCTATATGGCTAGTGGTCCCTACTGAACACTAATTTGCAAAGTCAGCTTTTTATCCTCTTTGATACTCTGCCCCAGTCTGCTATACACAGGCCCAATTTGGCCTCATTTACTTTTTTTCAAAATCTGATTTGACATTTCCCAGAACTCTTCAATCATGATTATGAATTCACCTAATACTTGAAATGGACCAGAAAAGGTAAAGACAGTGTGAGGTTTTTTCCTGATAAAAAATATAGACCATAACCTAGTTGTAAAGTTGGAGGTGGGACTCCTGTCTTCATATATACACACATACACGAACAAAATTCTGATTCTCATGGAACTAAATTTAATAATTTGAGAAAATGATCAATCTTAGCTCATTGACAAATTTGCTGTTACTTCCTTAATTCTGAATCACATCAAACATGTTTTATTTACATTTCAAGAAATGAGAGTATTTGAGCAAAAATATCACTGTATTTATTTTCATACACAGCGTTGCTACAAGCGACAACGTTTTCTTGAAAACTTAGAACTGGATCACTTGGCCCTTTCTCTTCTTATCTCCTCCCAGTTCAAAATGCTTGCATCTTTTAATGGCCAGCATCCTCTTGGACCTGCAGTTAGGTTCCACACATTCAAGCCTCAGCACGATCTTCTTTGTGGTTTTAGCCTTCTTCCGGAAAATTGGCTTCGTCTGCCCACCATAGCCACTCTGCTTCCGATCGTAGCGCCTCTTTCCCTGGGCATACAGGGAATCCTTGCCCTTCTTATACTGGGTCACTTTGTGAGGCTGATGCTTCCCACACTTCTTACAGAAAGTCCTTCGGGTCTTAGGAACATTGACCATCTTTGCAGCAGCGCTGTCAGCACGATCAAAACTGGTAGAATATTTAAAATTACAGCAGACGTTAAATATTTTGAATACTGTGTTTTAAAAATACAGGAAAACATTACAGCATTACCTATATCACTAAGGTACAACCCACCAAGTACTCATTTCACAGAAGAATAAATTACACAGAAAAGCGCACACCTTTTTGGAATGCTTAAATTATTAGAACATTTATAGAATGAAACTCAATAAAAATTAGCCTGCGATGGAGCAGCACAGGAGGGCCCAGGAGCCAGTTCCCCGTACAAACTGGCTTCCTTTGGAGTTTAATTTACTGTGGCTGTCCAAAAAGAACAGCGAAGCGGTGTTTGTCTAATTTCCTTTCTCAGAGAAGGCCACAGCTAGAGCCTCCGACTCTTCCTCGCACCCTCTTCCCCCACGTTCCGGCGCCCGGACAGTGGCTACTATTACGTCCCGCCTCGGGTCCTTCTCCGGAAACCAAGTCAGTCTGGTTTCACATTTCTTCTCAGAAGCACAGCCACCCGTCAGAGCGACCCTGAAGGCTGACGTGTCCTTAATATGTGCCTCCTGGCCCACTAGCCGCCATTCCTGAGCCCCTTTCCAAAGGGAGAAGCCAGTTCTCTAGCTCTACCAAACCAAGGCGGCGGGTCTCGCCCTCCAGTTCCCACAAGGGGCGAGTCCACACCCGGGTTCTCAGTACTGGGGGTCCTGCTGAGACGGCCACACAGAGTCTTAGCTTACCGGGAAATCCGCGGCGCACGATGCTCGCCGCGCCTCGCCTCGCCTTGCTCGCGCCTCACAGGAAAGGGAGAAACGGAGCGGAAGCAGGAACTGTGCGTGAGCGACAGTACTACGGAACCAATAGGCAGCAGGCGGCGGCTGTCTGGCGTCCCCGGACGCGTCCTGGAAGCTCCAACCAGCGGCCTTAGGGGCGGGCCGAAGGGGTGTGGGCCGGAGGGCCACGGCGCTCCGCGGGCCAGTCGCGGGTTGTCAGAACGGTCGCCGACGGAGTGGGGCGAGGCTGCGTCGCTCGGTCTTGGCGGTGTAGGGCCCGAGTAAGGATGAGAGCGCAGAGGACGCAGGGCCGCTGGAGGCGCAGGTAACCAAGCGGGGGTGCGGTAGGGCCGCTGCGGGGCTTCTTCCGGGACCCTTGCTGAATGGAGAGGACCGAGGCGATGCCGAGCCGCGGCTCCTAGCCGCGGGGCCGCTGCCCGAGCTAGGCGAGGATGTGTGGAGCCCGGGCGGCGCGGGGGAGCTGAGACCCTTCGGGCCCCTGGACCCCCGGGGCCCGGAATGAGTTAGCTAGGGCAGCCGCGGGGTCCAGTTCCGACTGCCACAGGCCAAGGCGACGGCCGCCACCCGCCCGCCCCTTCTGTGCAGAAGCCGCTAGCTCCTTTTCGCGCCCGCCCGCCAGCGCTCCCGGCCCTGGAGACCATGAGGTTCCGTATCTACAAGCGGAAGGTGCTGATCCTGACGCTCGTGGTGGCCGCCTGCGGCTTCGTCCTCTGGAGCAGCAGTGGGCGACAAAGGAAGAACGAGGCCCTCGCCCCGCCGCTGCTGGACGCCGAGCCCGCGCGAGGTGCGGGCGGCCGGGGCGGGGACCATTCTGCTGTGTCGGGCATCCGCCGGGTCTCCAACGAGTCGGCGGCTCCGCTGGTCCCGGCGGCCCCGCAGTCCGAGGCGGACAACCTGACGCTGCGGTACAGGTCCCTGGTGTACCAGCTGAACTTTGACCAGACGCTGAGGAATGTAGACAAGGCCGGCTCCTGGACCCCCCGAGAGCTGGTGCTGGTGGTCCAGGTGCATAACCGGCCCGACTACCTCAGACTGCTGCTGGACTCACTCCGGAAAGCCCAGGGCATCGACAGCGTCCTCGTCATCTTTAGCCATGACTTCTGGTCGACAGAGATCAATCAGCTGATCGCTGGCGTGGATTTCTGTCCGGTTCTGCAGGTGTTCTTTCCTTTCAGCATTCAGTTGTACCCCAACGAGTTTCCAGGCAGCGACCCCAGAGATTGCCCCAGAGACCTGGAGAAGAATGCAGCTTTGAAGATGGGATGCATTAATGCTGAGTATCCCGACTCCTTTGGCCATTATCGAGAGGCCAAGTTCTCCCAAACCAAACACCACTGGTGGTGGAAGCTGCATTTTGTATGGGAAAGGGTCAAAGTTCTTCGAGAATATGCTGGCCTCATAGTTTTCCTAGAGGAAGATCACTACTTAGCCCCAGACTTTTACCATGTCTTCAAAAAGATGTGGAAGTTGAAGCAGCAGGAGTGTCCTGAGTGTGACGTTCTCTCACTGGGGACCTATACGGCCAGTCGCAGTTTCCATGGCATTGCTGACAAGGTAGACGTGAAAACTTGGAAATCCACAGAGCACAATATGGGTCTAGCCTTGACCCGGGATGCCTATCAGAAGTTGATTGAGTGCACAGACACTTTCTGTACTTACGATGATTATAACTGGGACTGGACTCTTCAATATTTAACTGTATCCTGTCTTCCAAAATTCTGGAAAGTGCTGGTTCCTCAAGTTCCTAGGATATTTCATGCTGGAGACTGTGGTATGCACCACAAGAAAACCTGTAGACCATCCACCCAGAGTGCCCAAATTGAGTCACTCTTAAATAATAACAAACAGTACTTGTTTCCAGAAACTCTAATTATCAGTGAGAAGTTTGTGGCAGCCATTTCCCCACCTAGGAAAAACGGAGGGTGGGGAGATATTAGGGACCATGAACTCTGTAAAAGTTATAGAAGACTGCAATGAAAAATCACAATTACAAAAGCAAAAGTGACAGTCTTCTATTTTTGATATTTGTCCAAACAGGATATACAATTGAATAAAAAGGGTTTAGGGACTGGTTTCTGCTTTAATACAAAAAACAAAACACAAAAAAACAATTCTTGTAAAAGATGTCCAAATATAGTAATCTTTTCCTTCTATGTCTGATAAAAATTTAAACAGAAGTTTTCATTTCAGGAGTTGGGTTTTAAAGTTCAATCTGTATCAGCTAAAGGTAATCATTGTCAACTGGTCAAAGAAAAGAGGAGAAATTTTATTTAAATTGCATCTCTTAATCTTTTTATCTGGAACTTTGTACACTTTTCCACTTTCAGAACTTATTTTAAGTACAGCAAACTTTATTTAAAATTGTCGTAATGGTAAAAAGTATTACAATAGAATCATTAGAGTATTAGTGGAACAAGCCCAATTTCACTCTTGACACGGTTACTAGGAAGGGTTTGCTTCGCTGGTTTTATAATTCAAAAGTTATGTTTATTACACACCCTATCAGAACAGACATTTTCAGTATTACAGATTCCTGTATTATTGTCTTAAGATTTGCCTGTGCTTTGGAACCTTCATAGGACACACTTTCTTTTGGAATGTATTTGATAAGAAAGTTTAAACACTGTTTTCACCTCAATGTAGAAATACAGTGGGTTTTTTTCTTTTAGTGCTGCCAAAATAAAATACTCATTTTTGCATAAAAAGTTCCTAATCATTTTGTAGAAGAAATTTTCTTTACTGTTTACACCAAAATTCAGTAAAGGCATTCTAGAAGTTTTAACACTTGCATTGTATGTTCATATGAACTATTTGTACATCATACAACTGAATTTGAATTAAAGAAAACCCCACTCTTGACAATGGATTCCCTTTGGAAGAAACTGGCTTTCAAATTAGCCAACATAGCTAATGAATAATAAAAGGCTGCCATGTAAGTGAAATACAGCCTAAATTGTTTTCAAAAGCCAGAAATGATAGAAAGTTCAGTCATGCCACAGTGAAAAATATTCTAGTGCTAGCTTTATTTTAACTGAACTCATAACTTTTTAAAAAGGCAGGTAGTTTATAATAGGAAACAGGCTTAAAATTTATTCTTTGATGTGAAAGTTTGTCTTAACAGTATATAATCAACCAGAAATTACTCAGATTAATTTGTGTAGGTATGACATCATTTCAGTCTAAGAAAATTATGTATTAAATGGACAGTTTTAAAATGATTTCATCAAGTTATGGTGGAAAAATGCATATGGTCATTTTAGGTGGAGCAAATAGTTCTCTTGCTTTATGCACTACCTTTTTATTACCCTCACCGTTGGATCTGGTTCCAGAGTTTAGAGGGGTTATAAATGTAAATCAGGATAAATTGCCAGGCTTTGTACTAGCCTTTGGTGCTCTGATCTGACTTTCCCCAGTTCAAAGGACTAAAGGGATTAGGTAATTTCCAGGACTAAGGTAGGGCCAGACATTTGAATTAGTATTTTTTTTTTTTAAAACAAATAGAGAAATCAGCTCATGGTCTTGGTGTTAGCAATTAGATCAACATATTTTCCTTTCTGCATTCATGCTGTACTAAAGTTTTTTGTGAGAAAACTATTCAGATTTTCTCCTGTCCTCCAACAAAATTATTCCACAAAACTAATGGCATACGTTATCTGCTACCTTTTTTAGATATTACAAGAAAAACTTAACTAGAAAACACTGGCTTTTTTGTTTCCATGTAATATAGCAAAGACAGTTTTCCTATGGGAGCAAATTCCCAGATTTTTTCGTTGTTCTAATATTAGTAAATGTAAGCTGGCTGGCTGGATCAGTCGGAGTATGCGACTCTTGATATTGGAGTTAAAATTCAAGACCCATGTTTGAGTATAGGGATTACTTAAAAGCTTTTAAAAATATTCATAAATGTACTCTATAAGGCCAAGAAATGTCTTAATACTGCAATAGTAACTTCCAAAAAACATCTTTTAAGCAGTTGAATTTTCAAAGGTATCACTATATAACCTGTATTTTCTGTGACAGACATGAGAAGAGTAAAATACAGAGTTGAAGCAAAAATACCAAATTTCATTCAGTGTATTTGTATTGTAATTGTTTGGGTTATTAATATTGGTTGGTAAAGTTCTAAGAATCTCTATTTCAAGCACAAATACATCCTGTTTAGTGAAACGTACAAATGCATAGTTTGGAGATTCTATCCCACCACACACACATACTGATTAATTTCTAGTTAATTCTTGAGAATTTTTGTAACAGACACAACTCAGTGAATATTTACTTTAAAACTTTATTAATGTTATGGTAAACAAAAGAAGTCAAAAACAAACAGAAGCAAATATATACAAGTTGTATTAAAACTATATGTTTAACTCTCCATTAGAAAAAATATACATAAGAGAAATCACAAAAATCACCATAATTAAGGCAACTTTGTATAAATTATACATGCAAAAAAAATCTCCAGTTTCCCCATTAGAATAAAAATTGTGAATTTTAATTTTATACTTTCTTAAATACTTTGTTTTATGATAATAGTTAACAGAAAAATAATCTATTTTAAGTCCAAAAAATTTTACTCTTAACTTTTAAATTCTAAAATTATATAGAATTAATCCAAGTCATACAGCAAAGAATTATGAAAACTGAATGCACATTGAGTCACATGACCTTTAATAAACTGCACACTACCATCCTGCATATTGGTTTCTTTTATGTTGTCAAGACCAGGTAAATTGTGAAATGTTGTTTCATTTAGTAATGAGCGATGGTGTCCATCTAATTCTTTCTCTTCTGTTATCACTGGTTCTTTTAAAAGATCTTTTTCCTCATTTGAGTAAGCAGGACTTTTTTCTTTTATAAATTGAGGTTTCGTTTTTGACTCAGGTTGCTGAGACCTTCCAAATGGCATGTGAGAAACACCAAGAGACTCTTGTTGCAAGCACACAACTGAACCACAAGTGTCTGTTTTTAGTACTGTAACTGCCACGGATGAATCAGAATCCGTTGCTGAGGCAGTAGGATGTTCTATATTTTCTTTTTCAGTTAGGGGACTTCCTTCATTGACTTTTTCTTCCTTTTCATGAAGCTGCTCAGAGCTACTACATTCTTGCAACTAGGTCAAGAGAAACAACAAATTAAGAATTCTTTGAAACCAATAGAAAATTAAATTATAGTCCTCCCTGGATACAGATTTTTTTTGTAAGTTGTGCGGGAACAACCCTTGCAGATCTGAGATTTCTAGGCTTGCCCCTCAAAGTCATCTTCCAAATGCTGCCAGTTATTTTTTAATAATGCAGTCAGTGCAAACCTGGCATTAGTTCTTTTTTTCTTTCTTTTTTTTTTTTTTTTTTATGTTTATTTTTGAGAGAGAGAGACAAAGCAGAGAGAAACACAGAATAACACAGAATCCGAAGCAGGTTCAGGCTGTCAGCACAGAGCCTGATGCAGGGCTGGAACTCATGAACCGCAAGATCATGACCTGAGCCAAAGTCCGATGTGTAACTGACTTAGCCATCCAGGCGTCCCGCATTAATTCTTGATTAATTCATTCCAGTGACTGCTCATCTCCTTCAAGATAAAATAATTCTGGCCTATAAACCCTTAGTAGTCATTTTAATAAGGTCATGCTTGAATTTCTTGAATTCCTGTGATTCTTTAGAGCCACTCTCTCCCTACATTCATATATAAATCAGTTGTGCTAGTTACTAAATTATCTGTGTCCAATATTGGAAGAGTAAAAATAACCAAACTAGGGGTATGTGGTAGCTCAGGGGGTTGAACGTGGGACTCTTGATTTGGGCTCAGATCATGATTCCACAGCCCAGGATCGTGGGATCAAGCCCCACATTGGGCTCCTTAAGATCGTCTCTCCCAGGGCACCTGGGTGTCTCAGTCAGTTGGGCGTCCAACTCTTGATTTGGGCTTCTTAGGTCATGATCTCACAATCTGTGAGATCAAGCCTTGCACTGGGCTCTACACTGACAGTGTGGAACCTGCTTGGGATTCCCTTTCTTCCTCTTCCTCTGACCCTCCTCCAACTTGTACACTCCCGGGCACACAATCCCTCTCAAAATAAACTTAAAAAAAAAAAAAAAAAGTTCATTTCTCCCTCTGCCCCTCTCCCCCATGCTCGCTCTCTCTCCCTTTCTAAAATAAAAATAAATACATAATTTTACAAAATAACCAAACTTATGGTTCAACTAGAAAGAATGAACAACCTGAATGACCCAGCTCCTTCCCATGGACTGAAAGTCAAAAAGACTTGCTTGTTCCTGGACTGGTACTCAAACTTCCCAAGTTAGTTTTACTCTATTCCTCAACGGAGAGTTATTTTGGGATTAAATAAGGTCTGTGTGAAAATTGCAGAGTGTTTGGCACATTGTAAAATACATACAAAAAAATGTTTACTCCTCTTAAGTCTTCCCAGATACTATGTACATATACTTTAAAGTTATGACATCAAAAAATCAAAAATTAAGATATTGGTTAGGCTTTAATCTCGTCCTAAATCACTACTCTACAAAGGGCACCGAATCCTTACCTTTGCATGAATTTGAATCTTACTATCAGTAACCTGAAGAACTTCAATTAATGGTGGGGTTAAGGACATTGTCTGTTTACATGGAGAGCTCAGGACCTCTTCAAGTACCTCATTAACATTTTCTTCATTGACAAACAGCTTTTCCTAAAATAAGAGAAAAAATATTCGGCCTTATAAGTCATTCTTGACACAGGTGATCTAAGAACAGCTCATAAAACTTCTTACACAGTTCAGGATTATACTTTAAAATGTTTAATGTTACTCCTGTGCTGTTTTGGCAGAAGAAAACTATTGTACACAGCAGTTAAGAGTAGCAAGAGTACATACGTCGGCAAAGGCCCTAAAAGGAAAGTCTTTAAAAAATCCTAGTTCCTTTTCTAAGTTTCTGTTAACAACCTGAGATAATCTTATAAATATTATTTTTCTTTCTTTTTTCTCTTAATATTTTATAAGAATAACATCACCTCTAGGTCTATAAATGCAGTCACAGCTATAAAATGTAATTTAATTTTAGAATACTTCCTAATGAGTCAGCTAAGAAATATACATGACGGGGTTTATTCCAATTTTGTGTGACCAGTTTGCCTTTTAGTTCTTGGCCAGGTAAGCCCGAATATAATCTTTTATTTGAGAAGTATATTCTATTTTTACATATTGATAGAATCCAGCATGACACTAGCATATAGCTATTTATAAGAATTAGGCAGATTTCAAGAGGCTGACCTGGGAAAGATCTCCAAACTACTATTAGGAAATGTATAAATCACTTCTACCAGAATCTCAAACACAAAGCAATTTGTGCATATTCATGTCAAATGAACATAGGTATATAGTTAGGATGTTGATGGGATAACCATATTTAAAATTCATAAAATCAGTTTCTTGTTGCCCGAAATAAAATACTTTCATAAAAACAAATTTCCAAATAAACACAGTTTATTATGTGGTTCAAATAGGAGGGCAAAATCAGAGACAAGTTTCAAGTTCTCTTATTTTATACAGTATTTACACTTGGTGAATGACTACCAAAGTGAACCCTGGATACAGAAAAACCTTAATTTGGGGTAATTTCCTTGGCTTTATTTTAAGTTCCAGAATAACCAATGATAGAAACATTCCCCAATTAAAAGCATTTCTAAGGTTCCTGTCTCTGGAAAAACACATTAGTTGCACAAAAATACACCAAATACTTTAGTCCTCAGTAAACCCAAGGAAAAGTAATATTTGTAATGGAAATGGTTATGATTAAAATATAGAGGATTTGCATAAACTTGCCTTATTCTAATGGCTGATTTTACTCTAAAAGTTATTCAGTTTAGTGGTCCTATAGGTGTAGGAAAATTTCCAGTGAATATTTAAGGCTTTTATATATAATTTTGCACTTGTTTATGTGTAAAGTAAAAATTCTGACCTTGACCATCACAATCCAGTCTCTTTATATTTCCATATAATGCAGTAATTTAATCATTATATATGTCTAGTCACTCATCACTCGTGATTTTAAAATAATGTTACTTTATTATTTATTTATTTGTTTGTTTTTGAGAGTCAGAGAGAGACAGCGTGAGCAAGGGAGGGTCAGAGAGAGGGAGATATAGAATCCAAAGACAGGCTCCAGGCTCTGAGCTAGCTGTCAGCACAGAGGCTGACGCGGAGCTCGAATCCACGAACTGTGAGATCATGACCTGAGCCAAAGTTTGACACTTAACCGACTGAGCCACCCAGGAGCCCCAAATAATTTTAATACTTAGAGCCTAGTCCAGTGAAATGTAAAGAAAAATAATTGACTATTATGGTTCCATTAGCCTTAGCAAATGTGATGATGAACGAAGTAATTCTAAATCTATTTCAGGCATCAAAGATCTAACACACAGTTGCCCTAATCCCATTTTGGTCTGGTTTACCTGCTAAAACATTAGCTTTCTAGAAAATTAGATTAAAATATGTTCTTTAGTATTCTCTCAACTGCTTATCCATAAAGCCTTCTTCCCAGTTTTATTTTTACATTTATTAATATGTAAAAAAAAAAAAAAACAATTACAGGGGTACCTGGCTGCCTCATTCAGAGGAGCATGTGACTCTTCATCTCAGATTGTGAGTTTGAAGGCTACGTTGGGTGCAGATATTACTTCAATAAACTTTAAAAATAAATAAAACAATTACAAGAAACGACTGCCCTTTCCTAAGTTTCCTCCTTATGATGATATAAGCAGATAGTCAATTTCATATTATAGTCTCACAAAGCATCTTACCTAGACCTGGCTTATTTACCATTTGGGGATAGTTTCAAATTAACCACTTCTCCTAGAAGATACCCCTCATAAAATATAACTTATTAGCAAATACCCAGGAAGAGTATAGAAAGAAGTGAAAATTTCTGGCAAGTTAAAGCCCAAGACTAAAAAGTTAATTTTCAATATATAATCTGCAACAAGTTTTATTTCTGGGAATTCAACCCTTGCATTTGTTAAAAGCTAAAAAAAAAAAATTACATGTAACACAGATATATACCTCAGTGAAAACCACCAACTGTTAATTTATGAGTTTAAAAAGTTCCTTAGAACTTCAAATTTAAAATTTGTTTTAAAAAATCGTTAATAGTACTGAAGTACTGAATATGAAATTCAAGAATCTCAATAACCTTGAAAGTGTAGTAGCAACTACAGTACAACATACTGTTCATGAAAACAGTATCCTAAGTAAACTAGGTAATGCTCAGCCCTAAGTTCTAGAGTACCTTGCCCGTAAGAGGTGTAGCTGATCTTGATGTTGCTTAACAATATTTATACAGTTAATCTTCAACAACGGGGGTTGTGGCGTACCCCACCCGACAGTTCAAACATTCACCTACAACTTTTAACTGCCCTAAAGCTTAACTAATAGCCTACTACGGACTGGAAGCCTTACTGATAACATAAACAGCATTAACACATATTTTGCATTTTCCTTACAATGCAAACTAGAGAAACAAAATGTTAATAAAATCAGAAGAGAAAACAGGAGCACCTGCCTGGCTCAGTCAGTGGAGCCTGCAACTCTTGATCTCCGGTGGGATGTAGAGATCACTCAAAAATAAAATCTTTAAAAAATATACTTAAAGCTTTCTACTGTATCAAAAAAGATCTGCCTTTAAGTGGATCCAGGGAGTTCCACCTTGTGTTGTTCAAGGGTCAATTTAATGGTAAATTTTAAAACTGGGATAGAATATTTCAAATATTAAGAGTCTAGAAAGAACTGTTACCTCCAAAGAATCGTTGTTTAAACCATAATACCACTCTCTCCAATGTCCATGGCACTCTGGAGATTTGGCCAGTTCTATCACTGCATTGTTTGAAGAAATACTAACCACAGGTTCTTTGGTACTCAATTTATTCTCTGGAGCGAATTGCAAAAAGAAAGAATAATAAACTAAGTCTTGGGTGGAGAAGCACAATTTGTACCGGAAGGGGCTCACATCCCCTTGAAGGCTTTGCGGTTGGATCCGGGGCACTTGAATTAGCAGAGTCAGGGATCCTTCATCCTGATTACACCGCAGAGGAGGACACAATGGTTCCCGGCTGCCCGTCCTCGGACCACCCATGGCTCGATCAGATGTAGCACCTTCCCCGATCACGTGCGTCTCAGCAGTGAGATCTCCCTGCGCAGTCCCTCTTCCTGCAGAAGACCCGCTGTCAAGGTCCCCAGAGGAAGCACAAGAGGACCCTCCTCCACTGTCCCCAGCTGAGTTCCCTGCTACGCAAGGCGGCTCCTCCTCGATGCCCGTTGTCCACACCGCTTGCTCGTCCAAGTCCTGCTCCTCGGGCTTAGAGACAAGCTCCTCTGCAGCGGCGGCTGGGCTGGCGATCTCCAGGTCCGCAGCCCCGGGTAACCCGGGTTCCAGGCCGCTAATCTCCGCACCAGACTCTACGGGGCCCGCCTCCCCCTCGCGAGCGGAAGCGCAGGCCGCGCCGTCAGTTCCGGACGGGTAGACGGGCTCTTCCGGCTCCGCTGTAGGTTTTCGGCGCGCGGCGGGTAGTGCTACGGGAAGTGTGACCACCAGCTGTCGCCGGGCCTTGTTGAACTGCGCCTTACCGCGGCTGTCGTCCACCGGGTACGGGAGCGATAGCCGCAGCTGGTAGTCGGGTTTCCTTGAATCAAGGCACAGCTGCCTTCCCGTCACCTCCAGGGCCGCCTGCTCGGCCGAGCGCAACAGCGGCAGCTCGATGGTGACCACCAGCTCCCGGGGCACCGGACTAGGGGCCGAGTCCCGGGAGCAGCGGTAATCCTGGAGGTCCACGTGGTGGCGCTGCACCACGCTGTAGCGAGGCTCGGTGGGGGCGGGCTGCAGGACCGCCTCTGGAGGGGAGGGTGCCTGGGGCCGGGGGACCACGGAGTTCCCGGCCACTGCCGGGAACCGGTAGGGGTAGGGGAAATCGGGGAGAGGACTCTCCGGCTCCCCTCCGGGCCGGGCCGGGACCCCCCCGGGCAGGGGTGTGCGCAGCACGGCGGCCTCCGGAGTCCCCTTGTACTTGATCTTCAGGGTCTTGGCATTCCTACGGTCTAACTTCACACTAAATTGCTTCTCGATGGCCTCTAGGGCCGTGGCATCCAGCATCTGGCGGAAGCGCTCGTGGCGCCGGGCCAGCGCGAGCGCGTCTGGGTGGAAGACCACGTCGTAGACCGTGTAGCGGGTGCCTCGGCCCCCAGCGTAGTCGCGGCCGGGAGCCAGGCTGTAGGGCAGGGACCACTGGCTGCCGGTCGCCGCGCCCGCAGGGCCGGGGCGGCTGCTGGGCGCGCCCACCAGTGCGTTGCTGCACACGTTCACGAAGCAGCGCTGCGCCCCGTTGAGACTGGTGCGCAGCACGTAGCCCGGCTGCGGGTGTACGAACCGCACGTCCACTCCGCGTTCACGCTCTAACGCCGTGATCTCCTCCTCGTAGCGCCGCCGGTTCTCGGGGTCGGTGAGCTCCTCTGCGTACTCGGAGAACATTCGCCGGAACTCCGGGTCCTTGAAGGCGGAGGTGAGCCGCTGGACCTCCTCTCCGCTCAGGTCCAAGTCCTCCAGCGCCGAAGAGGCCCCCGCCTTGGCCATCCTGCCCTGTGGCTCCTGGCCCTCAGGCCTAGGGGAGATTAATCCGAGACCAGGTAGGTGGGACACGCCGTGGAGTAGCTGGTCTGCGGAGAGTGGGGCGGCCGCCGAGTTCCGTAACCGAAGAGAATGGAGCCTCGCGCAGCGCGTGGTGTTGCCATAGTGACACCACCAACACCCGGAAGGAGGCGCAGACTTTGGAGTGGGATGGTGGAAATGATGCAAATAGACTCTTAGTTTCTTCAGATCACTTACTCTAATACTGCATTTTTAGATTCCTGTGCCGTGGTGCAATTACTTATGCAGAATAACTGTCATAATAATTGTAATTTCCAGCATTTATGTAAGTTATTGTTCTCAACACTTCAAGGTAGACCTGATCAACATTTCACAAAGACTATGGGACCTGAGAAGTTATCTGACCAAGGTCACTTAACCAGGGTATTCACAAACTGTAATTCACTTTAAGCTTATCTACAGTTTTTTAAGTTTATTTATTTTGAGAGACAGACAGAGAGAGCAAGTGGGGGAGGTGCGGGAGGGGGAGGGGGAGGGCTTTGAACTCAAAGCCCCAAGATCAAGAGTTGTGTGCTTCTTCAAGTGAGCCAGCCAGGTGGCTCAGGACTTTAATAACAAAAATGCACCTGTAAGATCTCACATATCACCTATCAAAATGGCACAGGCAGGTTTTGCAATCACTGTGTTTCCTTGGGGTGGTACTAAAATTTAGTAAAACCTTGGGGCGCCTGGGTGGCTTAGTCGGTTAAGCGTCCGACTTTCGCTTAGGTCATGATCTCACGGTTCATGGGTTCGGGCCCGCGTCGGGCTCTGTGCTGACTGCCAGCTCAGAGCCTGGAGCCTGTTTCAGTCTGTGACTCCCTCTCTCTCTGACCCTCCCCTGCTCACGCTGTCTCTCTCTCCTGGAAATAAATAAAACATTAAAAAAAATTTTTTTTAATAAAATAAAATAAAATTTAGTAAAACCTTTCTAGAGAGTACTTTGGTAACTGTATCAAAAGCTTTTAGAAGGTACATACTCTTTTTCATCTAGCAATTCTAAATCTAAGAGTGTGGTCAGGGCAACATTACCCATAACTCTAAAGGTTTCGGGAAGAATTCCAACAATGGGACAGGGTGAGCAGATTTAGCTACTGCCATACAATGGGATTCTATGCAGTCATTCAAAGTGATGTTATGGAAGAATATTTATTGACTAAGGTATTTATTAATTGGTAGTTATTAAATCCAGTGATTGTTAGTTTCTATTCTCATTTTGTTGAAACTGTCCTCAACATTTAACACAGTTGATGTTGACATTACTTCAGTCACAGCACACTTTCCAGGTTTCTCTCCTACCTCATAAGACACTTGACACTGTATAGTCTGTTTTGTACGTGTTTGTTCCACTTCTCAGTGGAAATGCCTCCGGGCTGGGACCCTGTCTCTTCTCCATTTAACATTCTCTCCTTCACAAATATATTTACACTCACAAATACAAGGCTTATATTTCAAGTTCTAAATGCCAGACTCCCATATCCAGTTATTCACATGAGGTCTCCATGTGAATGACTTTTTTTTAATGTTTTATTTTTCAAATTTTATTTTTATATATTTTTTATTTCTGAGAGAGAGAGAGACAAACAGCATGAGCAAGGGAGGGTCAGAGAGAGAGGGAGATACAGAATCTGAAGCAGGCTCCAGGCTCTGAGCTAGCCGTCAGCACAGAGCCCGACACGGGGCATGAACCCACGAACCGTGTGATCATGACCTGAGCCGAAGTCGGACGCCCAACCAACTGAGCGACCCAGGTGCCCCTCCATGTGAATGATTTAATGCCTAAGTCCCTCAGGTTTGAAATGACCAAAAATCTAACTCCTTTCCCAGCCTCTGCTCTTATCTTACCATCTCTTGGCAGCATTCAAAACAGTTGAGTGTCCCCTCCTTGAAACCTACTTTACTCTTGAAGAACTCCATGCTCTCCCATTTTCCTTCTCTGCTTGTTCTCTCCTGCCCGGTCTCTAAATGTAGGAGCCACCCAAAGTTGTTCATCAGCCCTCTTATCTAATTGTATTTCTTAGGAGTGCCTAGGCGGCTCAGTCAGTTAAATGTCTGACTTTTGGTCTCAGCTCAGGTCATGGTATTGTGGTTTGTGAGATCGATCCCCGTGTCAGGCTCTGCACTGACAGCATGGATCCTGCTTGGGATTCTCTCTCCCTCTCTCTGCCTCTCCCTGGCTCATGATCTCTCTCTCTCAAAAATAAATAAACATTAAAAAAAATAATTGTATTTCTTTCCCGATGATTTTTTTTTTTTTTTTTTTTTGAGAGAGAGAGAGAAAGAGAGCTAGAGAGCGGCAGAGAGAGAGAGAATCCCAAGCAGGCTCTGCACTGTCAGTATGGAGCCCAATGCAGGACTCGAACTCATTAACTGTGACATCATGACCTGAACTGACACCAGGAGTTGGTCACTTAACTGAGCTACCCAGGTGCCCCTCTTCACAGATGATCTTTTTTTTTTAAACATAGGAGACTTCTTAAAAAAATTTTTTTACATTTATTTATTTTTGAGAGACAGAGTGAGACAGAGTGTGAGCGGGGGAGGGGCAGAGAGAGAAGGAGACACAGAATCCAAAACAGGCTCCCGGCTCTGAGCAAGCATTCAGCACAGCGCCTGACACAGGGCTCGTGAGATCATAACCTGAGCTGAAGTCAGACGCTCAACTGACTGAGCCACTCTGGCGCCCCTCCCAGATGATCTTAATCAAGCCAACAGTTTTAAGTGCCATCTAAGTTCACATTCATTCTTTGAACAGATATGTATTGCACGCCTCCTGCCCCTACTGTTTAGATAGCTAAGGCACTGTTCTAGGCACTGGAACAAAACAAAATCATTGTGCTCCAAGGATGTGAAGCAGCTGACATTCTAGTATGCGGGAAGTATCTATTGGGTTAATTACTTTGGAAATTGTCTGTTGACTGTAATGTATATCTCATGACTATGAAATTCTACTCCAATACACATATCCAACAGAAACACACATCTCTATCAAAAGACATACACTAGAATTTGCATTATTTATAATAGCATTATTTGTAATAGGCAAAACAGTAGAAACTACCCAAATTCCCATCAGTAATTGAATGGACAAATAAAATGTGGATATCCACACAGTGGACTTGAATGAATAATGTGGGTAAATGTTTTTCACAAGGTTATGGGAAAGAAACGAGATGCAAAATACATATCATATGATTCTATTGTATAATAGGCAAAACTTGGCAAAATAAATCTTACTGTTAGAAATCAAGCTAGTGATTGTCCTTTTGAGGGGGAGTGGGTGTTGTGATTAGAGTGGAGCAGGAGTGAGCTTCTGGGGGGAGGGTAATGTTCCCATTTTTAATCTTAGTATTGCTAACAGGGTGTGCAGTTTATGAAAATTCACTGAGCTGTACGCTGATGATAGGGGACTTGTATGTATGTACCTTATACTTCACTTTATTTTTTTTTTAAATTTTTAAAATGTTTTATTTGTTTTTGAGAGAGAGACACACAACATGAACAGGGGAGGGGCAGAGAGAGGGAGACACAGAATTGGAAACAGGATCCAGGCTCTGAGCTGTCAGCACAGAGCCCTATGCAGTGCTTGAACTCACAAATTTTGAGATCATGACCTGAGCTGAAGTTGGATGCTTAACGGCTGAGCCACCCAGGTGCCCCTCTTATACTTCATTTAAAAATTTTTGTTTTGTTTGTTTGGTTTTTTGGAAAGAGTGAGCACAGCAAGTGAGGGGCAGAGAGACAGAATCCCAAGCAGCTCCACACGTCAGTGCAGAGCCTGATACAGGGCTCAAACTCAGGAATCATGAGATCATGACCTGAGCTGAGACCAATGGTCAGACGCCCAACCGACTGAGCCACCCAGGCGCCCTTCAGAGTTTAATGTACTTGTAAAAAAAAATCTTGGCCTTCGTGGATCTCATGTGGAATGAGACTAATGACTCCAAAATTGTATCTCCAGTCACACCTGACCTCTGAGCTCTAGGCTTATGCTACTGCCTACTAGGATGTGTGATAGGTATCTCCAAATAAAATTTTTTAAGATCTTATTTTTAAGTAATCTCTACACCCAGTGTGGGGCTTGAACTCACAACCCCGGAGGTCAAGAGTTGCATGCTCCACTGACTGAGCCAGCCAGGCGCCCCTGCAAATAGAAATCTTAATTTTCCCCTCTCAAACCTCTTATTTTCCCCAGTCTCATCAAATAGTACCATCCACCCAGCTGCTAAGCCTAAAATCTAAGTGTAATATTTGCTTCCTCTTGGGGCACCTGGGTGGCTCAGTCAGTTAAGCATCCGACTTTGGCTCAGGTTCCTCACTGTTCGTGGGTTCGAGCCCCATGTTGGGCTCTGTGCTGACAGCTAACTCAGAGCTTGGAGCCTGTCTTCAGATTCTGTGTCTCCCTCTCCCTCTGACCCTCCCCTGCTCATGCTGTCTCTATCTCTCTCTCAAAAATAAATAAAACATTAAAAATTTTTTTTAAAAATCCTTGATTCCCCTTGCCCTCACCCTGCCCTGCTATTCAGTTACCAAGTCCTGTGGTTTCTTCTTACACACCCCCATACATCCACTTCTTTCTTTCTTTTTTTTTTTTTTAATGGTTATTTATTTTTGAGAGAGAGAATGGGAGCAGGGGAGGGACAGGGAGAGGGAAACACAGAATCCGAAGCAGGCTCCAGGCTCTGAGCTGTCAGCACTGAGCCACCCAGGTGCCCCTTCACTTCTTTCTATCTCTAGTCTGAGCCATTGAATCATCTCTGCACAGACTTCTGCAGTACTTTCCTGACTGGTCTCTTCAGCTGTTCCCTTTTTACAATCTCTCCTCCACATAGTATAATCTTAGTGATCTTGAAAACCAGATATGCTGAACTCTTTTGAGTCACCTCACATCCTAATTCCTTCCTTGTGTCTACAAGGCCATCATGCCTTAATCCTTACCCCTCTCC